CCCCCCCCCCCCCTCCCTCCTCGTGTTGTTCCTTACCCTCCGCGCTCGGCACCTACTTCTCTCCTCATTGCCCCTCCCTTCCGGAAAAAATCACACTCACAGTACGGGAACTTCGACACCTCCAAGCTCCAAGAGTTTACCACGCTTCCCGGGCTTCTTCGCTACCACGCCTGGGAGCAGGAGAATAACGCCGATCTTTTGCGGCGAGCCTCGGCACGCACGGGCTACCTCGTCGAAACTTGTGAGAGAAGCACACAGTCAGAGCGCGGGAAAATCATACGCACACACGTACACACACCCTACAATACGTTGGGTGCTGCGCAAATAATCTCTTGATATCGACCAAATAACAGAGTCGTAAGCGATTACCCTCCTACCCTTCGTCTTGGTTCATTGGTATCTACTATGCTGTGGATTTTATTCTCGGCGCTGTGGTTGACACACCACTTGGACCGCTGTATCGGTTCTAGTAGTTGTACTCTTGCTGATTTTGAGGCCCATGCTGCATCGCGCACCCGGAAGCAAGTAGTGCCCAGGGGGCGGGTGTTGTCAGCCCTTGCAGCAACTTATCTGTACCTTGAAGCGTGCTTTGTCCATGTTTTGCACGTGATTGTGTTTTACGAAAGACGTGTAGTTCCTTGTTTGTGCAGTGACAATGCTACTCAAGCTTGTTTTGCAGCCCCCCACCTGCCATTACGATGTACGAGTCAGTTGCTTCGTGTAGCGGTACGTTGTTCAACGATCACAGACCAGACCACACGGCAGCAAACTCTACGCCCGTAATCCTGCCACCGTTGCAATGGTGGCTAGCTACGCTTGAGGTCCGCGACAATAGGAACACCATGCCGGCCCGGAATAACGATAGCCTTGCTGCCGTGGTGCTGGTACGCCAAGGCGCTTTCGTTCCTCGTGATCAATCACGCTCGGCTCCCCATTGCTTCACTGTTTCCACGCGGCGCTCCCCCTTTCTCGGATCGGCATTTTTCCGTTCGCGTTACGCCGCAGACGCTGTAATTATGGACTTCAAGGGGATGTCCATGGGTCAGGTCAACCGAGATTTTCTCTGGTGAGACGTGCTTTTTCGACAGAGGAATCTCCGCAAAATATGCAGGCCAGCCAGCTTCTCTACTTAGCAGTCCCCCCGCCCCCCCCAAAGTTCACCCGCTGCCGCTCCGTGGGACCTTGTTGTGGGTGGGCTATCGTCTACTGTTCGTGTATTGATTTCCACAAGTCCAGACACTGAATTTTCTTTGGTGGCTTGGTCTATGCAGACAAGTTGTGTAACGGTTGCAGAGTGTGCCCATCGCTTTCCACCGCTCGTCCCTTTGATCCCCATGCGTGTGGCAGGTCCCATGCACCCCACTCGAGTATGTTCTCCTTTCTATTTTTCGTTGCTCCTCAACCCCAGCCCCCTCCACCTGCTCCGTCCTCTCGGGGACCCGCGGTCATTGGTCTAAAAGCTAAGGCATTCAAAACAGTTCAAAAACATGAGTACCCGTCCGTCCGTCAGTCCGTCCGTCCGTCCGTCATCGGGAACTGTTGTTCACAAGTAGGCTCTTGCGAAAACTCTCGGAGATGGACCGCACGCACTACCCTGGCCGCGGCGGCGTAATCTTCGTCATCAATACCCCGCCCTTGTTCGGACTCGCATGGCAAGGCATCCGCGGCTTCTTGACCACCCAGGTGGTAGACGTGATAACACCAAAGCGTTCCCGCCGCCGCCGCGCGCCTTTGTTGCCTCTTTGCTCCATGCAGCTCTTTGGTCACTTTTGGGGCTATTGTATTCTGGCGGTCTTGGGCGAATGAAAGTACCGCGGCCGTCCAGCAGTCGTCCCATCAATGTTGTTGGTCAATTCCACCTTCCTTTTGTTGAACTTCTTGTGCAGCTGTAGCCGTGTTTGGAAAAAGTCCAGTCAATTTCCCTATCCCGGGGGTCGTTTCCGTGTCGACCCTCTTCCGAGTGGGCTCTCGACGAACATCGATCCTACGATTGTTTTTCGGACTTCGGCTGTACCATTGCCCGTCGTGAACGGTAGAGCACCCACCCCTCCTCGGTGAGTCAAACAACAACCAAAAATCTCACGCCGTGCCTACTTTTCTATATTCCAAGTGTGTTATGTAGGGAAGGTAAATGAGTGTGCCGGGGGGATTTTTCCGAGTGTTTCTAGGCGTACCCGATGCTTGTGCGAATTCTGTGACACTTCGTTACCCTACCAGGCACTTTGTTTTCGGTTTCTTGTGAGATGCCAGGCACAACTGTTCTTTTCGAAGTCGGCCGCTTCAATATCTTTAGGTCCACGGCGTGCACCTGTCTTCTATTCGAGGCTCTTGGGTTTTTTCTTAATGGCCCCGGTTTGGCCCACAACTGTTGTAGTCATTCGAACTCGTGACGACACACGGACACGCGAGGGCCGCGTGTATTTAAAAAAAATTGAGATGTATGTGCACCCACCGGTGGCTCTTTTCCGGCGCAGCTCTGCCCCCCCCCCAGGATCTGAACAACTTCGTCCTCCTGCCCCCCCTGCCTGTTCTACACCTTAGTACAGGCCACCGTCCACATTTTCGGCGTTGAGAAAGAGTGGAAGGCAGCATTGGCGGAAGCGGTCGACCCCGCCGTCCTGCCGTTGGACTACGGCGGCACCGCCCCGCACCTGGCGGACACCCCTTTGCTCCCGGCCTTTCACCGCGCGCTTGGGCGAGACACTCCGGCGAGGGTAGGGGCGGCGGCGGCGGCGGCGGCGAAGGCGAAGGCGAAGGCGTGTCACTCAGGGATGCAAGAACGGGAGGGCGAAGCAGCAGTACCCGTTGAATGCGAAGGGGACGTGACCGCGAGGTCGATGTCCGCTCTGTTGCGGCGCTTCTCCCTGGGCGGTGATGGCGACAGCTGCACGCTCGAGCGCCAGAGTAGCTCCTCCGACGGCAGCAGTCTCGGGGGCGACCAGGCCGGCGGCGTCGGCCCTGTTGTATTCGAGCGTGATGTTGACGGTGGCGGCGGCGGGTCCTCCGAGAGCGGTGGAGTCGACAGAGCCGATGGTGGTGATGGTACCAATAGATCAGCAAAGACGTGGGGGAAACGCGGTAAGGTTGTGCCCAAGGACGTACCACAGGAAGTAGGTGGGAGTGGTGTAACAAACGAAGACGATGACGGCACAAACAAGAACAGCACGCGCGGGGGGGCACCATCGCACAGGCCGGTGTCGGGCGGCGGCGCCCCGAGCAATTCCTACGACTCGGCAGTGCATCTGGGAGCTCGGGCGGCGGCAAGCATGTTGGAATTGCCAGCGAGCGATGACCCACGCGCTACCGCCTCGTCCTCCTCCTCTTCCCCCTCCTCCTCTCACGTGATCATCGTCCGACAGCGGCACGACAAGCGCGACGGCAGTGACACCGCCGACCGAGGACGGATGGGGAAAGAAGACGACGAAGAAGACGAAGACCGCCGTGGAGGCCTTGAGTGCGTCTTGGACTACATCCCTAGCGCGCGCCTGGCCGCGACGGTAGCCGGGACCGTCGCGGACGCGACCCTCACGGCCGCTCTAGGCGTGGCCGGGTTTACCGCGGGTGTCATGGAAGCCGTGGTTCCGGCTCAGGCGTGGGCCGAGGGGGTACATGCCTTTCAATCGGCACGGTTTTTGGGCGGCTGGGCCCTCGGTCGCTAGGGAGAACGCTTCGCAAGGGAGGGAGGCGATTAATTGAATGCAGACCCAGCGGGAGGGGGGCAGTATATTCTTGTATAGGGTAAGAGCGCCGTCCTGCTGTCCCGAGTGTGATGCGGTACATCATGTCCCTCCTTGCCTTGCTCGTTTCCAGCATGTACTTCTTTTTCTTTTTTTTTCAAGGATGAGAGTACCGCCTTCTCTGCCTTTTGTTCCTGAATGCGATGCGGTTGATCATCTCCCCCCTTGGGTGTTGCTCGTTTCCATGCATCACGTCGATGCGGGAGTGAGAAGTGCCATTGGAGGGCGGTGAAGTCGAGGATGCACAGCCGGCAGATACAGGTAGGTCCCGTCGCGGCGGAACGAGCCCCCTTGCTTTGGTTGCGCGGATAGTGACGTGTTTTGATGTCGTCGTCCGGATACGAGAGGCGGCCTAAAGGCTATGTGTCGCTCGTGTTTTTTTTGCCTCGGGCAAGGCGACGTGAGCGTGTTGGTGTACATAGGTGTTTTTTTTCACTGGGGAGCACGACGGAAAGCCCTGATGTACCTAGCTGACGCGGATCGGCGGCGCCTGGTTCTGTTCATTCGCCAATTCCATTATATTTTTTGTGTGCCATGGGTTAAAATTCATCCTTTCCCGTCCACTTCTTCCACCGCTTTTCCGTACGTGCAGTTGAACTGTACTGTGGCATCGACCTTGTTGTGGTCAAGACCTTCGTGGGTAAGACCCAGTACGTTTGTAGGATCACGGGGCTTCCGCAGCAGCATGTGCGACGATGTACAGCGCCAACTCTCCTGTGGACGCGCACGGCGTGGGTACCGCGACAGGACTCGAAATTCGTGTCCAGCAGTCCCCCTTCCCTGAGCCAGATTCGTTCGACTGTGTACATGTTTTGATATTTTTTTTGAACGTGTGGTAATGTGTCGTGTACCGCTGGGCAGAAAAAGGTAAGAACGTGTTTGTATCGTGTTGTGCAGGTGCTTCTGTGTGTGAACACCTAATTTTGGTTGTGACTGTCGCTGTGGGCATCGTTGTAGACGTCAACGAGGTTTTACACTACGCGTCTGCTCTTTGCTGCACCGCTACGAGTAGAGATGTAGTTTGAGGCTTGACGGTGGTGGCGGCTTCGGTACCGATATGGATTCATCAGCAGTGATTTAATTTTTTGAATAGCTGTTGCGTGCGCCGGTGTACTCGAAGAATCTAGCGAACCGAGAGAGAAAAAACGACACCGAAGGAGAAACGTGCACCGAAATCGGAAGCTCAGGGGGGCATGGTTTGTTCCCGGTGGCCTTGGACGGCGTGGATCCGTCTTGCGGAGCTTGCATCGTGGCGTTGGGGAGGCCCTCCTTTCTTGTACAGGGATTCCTATCGATCGGGGTTGGTGGGAGACGGACCCAACGTGCAAACAAGAGCCGGAACGTCAAGTATTCGCACTTGTGCACAGTTGTACCTTGCAAAGCGATATTTTGACATTGACACGTTGATATGGACCGCTTCTATCGATGTTTTTGAAGTTGAAACTCAAACGGTTCTGAAGAACAGGGGCAAGGGGGTATTGTCCGTGCGAAGTGGCGGATGGCTTGTGGACGCTAGGAGAGAAAATGGTACCCCCTCCACCAAAAACGGAGTGTGGACGAAACTAAGCAGGCCTTAGCTCAGCACTGGTGTTACCAATGGTTTGACCAAGGTTGGATTTAACGAGGTCCGACACAGCGCCGCCTTGGAAGCATGTCGTTTTTCCTGGATTTGTACAACCAAAACTATGCACGCTGTGGATCTCCCGCTGATACGACAAACATTTATGCATAGCCCGAACGGCGTGTAAAGTTGGGCCACAACAGATGGGACCAACACAACCGCGTGTCTCATCCCCACGAGAACCAGTTCCGCTTGCCCGCCAACTACACCCAGAGAGCTGACCAGGTTACAAGGCCGGGCAACTGTTACTGAGAGTAATTGTGTCGGACCGCCAGCCGGGAAAAGAGTCCCACAGTCAACTCTTCACAAGAGGGCTTCAACATAACAATGATTAGGCTCATCGGCGGGTGAAGCAAAGCAACGGAAGGCCAGATCTATGGCGCATATGGCGCACATCCAATCGGAAACATTGAGACAACACAACCTTCGCCATACCCATCGATGGCGATATGAAAGGCCTCTTCGTCCTCTCGCCAAAAATATGAAGCCTCCGCCACCAAGTGTCTCACCCGCTGCCCAGGACAGGCGTCGCGACACCCCTCTACCCCCCCTGCCGTCCTCGGGCAAGCTCTAGGCACGATGCAGGATTGGCGATATCTCAACGCTACCACAGCAGTGCTCGGTTGTTTCGCAATTGTGGCAATGGCATGCGACAAAGCAATTAGGCAAAAGTTGTGCTTCCTTCGTGCATTCGGAACACACCGAATTTGTACACAACAATGCCTTAAACGTCTATGCAGTTCCA